ACTTGCAAATATTATAGTTGTTAAGTGTGATTTTGTGCTTCAGTCATAATTATATTATATCTGAACTTAAAGGTATATGGCATATATCTTGTGTGGCTATTTTCAGTTTTCTTATGGCGATCATAAAATTGGTTAAGTTGTATAGTAATTTTAGGTAGCCAATGGTTAGAACTTGCTAATTTTATATTGAAAATGAATTTAGGATTTGTTTATGATTTACCAAGATTTTTAACGTTATAACTTCTTTAATAATGGATATACAGGAGTATCTGGTTTGAAGCTGCTACAGTTGTTGCTGTTCCACCACCTGTGGAAATACCTGCTGGCAGCGTTCTAAGATCTGCATTGGCTGGGGGTCTTTCTTGTGCTCTGTCTACTTCTTTAATGTTCCCAGTCGATACAATTAAGGCAAATTCTTTGAATCAATTTTAATAAGTCTTGGTTAAAATTCTCCCACTTGTCCTATCATGATATACTTTTTCAAGGAAAATATCACTTTTTGATTCTTTAAACTTCAGACTTACTTGTCGATGGTTTGATCTCTTCTCTACAATATGCTCATCTTGACTTTTTTTTCTTTTTCATGGTTTTCAGACTCGCGTACAGGCATCAACATCAACTTTCCCTGAAGTCATATCCAGGATTCCACAAATTGGTGTGCGAGGTCTATACCGTGGTTCAATTCCTGCCATTCTAGGACAGTTTTCAAGGTTATTTTCTTTTCCCCAAATCATCACTAATTAAATAGTGTTTTTTGATGTACCATATTCGGTATCAAACTGTTGATACTTGCTTTTTAATCTTGTAGTCATGGTTTGCGAACTGGAATATTTGAAGCAACTAAACTTCTTTTGATAAATGTAGCTCCAACACTCCCAGACATACAGGTGACTTTTAGATTTCTCTGTCTGACTATCATTATTTTAATAAAAATTTTTGGTAATTGACAACGTTACAAAAGAAGCTTAAGTATCTAAATCAAGTGGTTGGGAACGAAGTGTTTATGGAAAGAGGAGAAGAAAAACTGTACTTTTTGGAGAGATTCAGCCAGCTATAGGCACATTGAATTGAATCCAGTTTCGAACTTCATTTTACTCTATATAACTTTCCCCCAACTTTTTTTTTATTATTTTTATTTTTCCCCCGAATTTATTTCTTTTCAAATCACTCTAAGATGGAAGTAGATCAAAGATCTCATTTTAGAATTGGAGCCTGAACTAAAGCAAAGATGGAAGAATGATACTATACCAGAGACGGCTACTGCTCCTTTTGACTGTCAGCTAACAATGCCGAAAAACATTGTCATATTTGCCAGCAGTTACCAAATGCTTTAATACTTGAGGTTCACCAGGGAATCTCCACGACCACTTTCTCACAAGAGTTACATTGCTCCTTATATGTATGTTTCCCTTGTCACACCTCCATAGTATGTCAATAATGAAAAAGACGATCAAATCACCTGGTGAGAGCCTTTCCCTCCATATTCTTCCAATAAGTTCCCTCAGTTTCTTAATACGTTTAGCGGGCTTAGTAGGGATTTTGAACACGTGAAATCAATAGGTATGATTCCCAGTTCAAGAACAAAGTGTCTCGTCCTTTGGAGATACTTCTCTATATACTTAGCCTGGTCATGATCTTTTCACTAGCTGGTTGCTTTTGATTTTTCTTACAACCTTCCTCTTGTATATTTTATTTTGACCTTCATGTATGTTGTTTGAATATTATTAGTGGTGAGTATGACTTGCATCTTCATGTACCTCATGGTATGCACAAGTTGCGTCCATGAAATTTAATGTCTCAGTGGAGACTTTAATTTCCAATCTTCGTATTTCTTTCAAGTGGGCATAAAATATTGACATCTACTTATCTGGATGGTTGAAACTATGCGGTTACTTTAGTCCATTTATTTTGATTTAGATAAACTCACCATCTATGCTAGTTTATCTGCCTTGATAAACTGGCTAATTTATTTTAGGCAAGTTGTTACATGATATATTGATATATAGTAAAGTTAGGGAATTTTATGTGTTTTGGTATCTCTTACGTATTGTTATTTATATACATCAGCACAAGCCCAAAGCTTCTCCTAAAAAATGTATAAAATTATTAAGAACTATGATTTGACTGTTACGAAGACCATCATGCACGCTCTTCTGCATAAGATACACCCACATTACAGACGCATCACCCCCATTTCTTCATTCGATTTAGGATGTGTTCTGCGACCTATTATGATGTACCATGGGATCTTATATTAATGACTCAGCACATTTTGTAGGTCCAATCCCTTGCATCGTTCTGTAGTACATTTTTGGGGACTGCAGTGCGGATCCCATGTGAGGTATTGAAGCAGAGGTTGCAGGCGGGACTCTTTGACAATGTAGGTCAGGCAATTTTGGGGACATGGAAACAAGATGGCCTAAAGGGATTCTTCCGTGGGACGGGTGCCACTCTTTGTAGAGAAGTTCCATTCTATGTTGCCGGCATGGGACTTTATGCTGAATCCAAAAAGGTGTGGTTTGTATTCCATCTATCAACCTCTTTTCAAAATTAAATTTTCCATTACATTTTTCCTACAGCAATTCTTTGTTGTAGCTTATTTACTCGTCTTTTTTAGATCCATGGTCAAACCATATGAGATTCTTAAACAAATGGCTTGAAAATATAGGTCGACCACCTAATCCATCTTTCTGGGAATGGGACAACTTGGCCAAAGACTATAAGTCATCTTTTTCAAAATTCTATTCGCATCATTAAAACCTCCTGGACAATGCATAGTTTATACAAAGAATTTAACTTATTTTTGGTACTTCATCCCCCAGTATTTCCTCAGCCACATCTTCCATAACTATAAGGCAGCTTGTCATATTCACCAAGTGGAAGAACAAAGAGAACTTAAAGTATTACACTGGATATAAGGACCACAATCCTCTACCTTCCCTAGTATTAATGCGAACTCCAATTTGTAGCTGGACTTGTTTCTGGAATTCCTCTTCTAATTTATTTATTTATTTTTGTTTAGTTTCTCCCCAATAGAACATTCCTATTGGCTTTGCTCTCCTCTCAAACATCTTTCTTCATTTCATCTCTTCCTGTATCAAAGAAAATCTTCTAGGTAAAAAATGCATAGGAGGTTATGGTATTCTCCCCGTTTTCAAGTTTTCAACTCTAATTGAGGAACGTTCATCAAAGAGGGGTCTAAGTCTTGAAATAGTCTTCCAAGGACTGATATAACTTCCCTTAATGACAATTTAATCAGAAATTTCTTGCCATATATGCAATATTGTTCTCTATGCCTCCACCAAATAAAAAATCCACCGAGTCCCTTCCAAATCAACACTATCTATTAGGATAAAAGTTGGAAGGTCGGAAAATACTGCAATAGCCAACGTCTAGTGTCTTCCTTAGAGAGGTTGAAGTATTTCCATCTTTCCAGTTTCCGTAGCTCTCTTTCTTTAATTTAAGTCCTCTTCAGTATACCCTTCAAAGTTAAAATACTTGAGGAACAGCCGACACTCGCAGCCATAAAAGCCACTCTTTCCATACTGATATTAATATCATAAGCAACACATTTTCCATATTGACATGTAAATAAAAGAGTTGTTTGTGGGTCTATTTATTTGGCATGGAGACCAAATTTCCTTGCCTCGTGGGTAGTTCCATTCTGTTGGCAAAACTTGGATTCCTTTATTAACCCTTTTGCCTGGTCACTTGTGCCCTTTTTTATTTAATTCATTTTTGCTATGAAATTTATGCTTCCTATCAAAGAAAAATGAAAACGAAAAGTACACAAACTACCAAACAAAATGCCTCAATTGTTGTACTCTGGAAGCTACATTAGAATTTGAAACCCATAATTCACCCATTCGTTTAGATCTACCACTAGTCACAATGAGGCGACTATTGTTGTTGACATGTTCTTTACTGTTTGTTTAAAAGGCTGTTCAGAAACTTCTTTCACGGGAGCTCGAGCCATGGGAAACAATTGCGGTTGGGGCATTGTCGGGCGGGCTAGCTGCTGTTGTTACAACACCTTTCGATGTGATGAAGACAAGAATGATGACAGCTCAAGGTCGATCAGTTGCAATGTCGTTTGTTTTCATTTCAATTCTTCGCCATGAAGGCCCCATCGGTTTGTTCAAAGGAGCATTGCCGAGGTTCTTCTGGATTGCCCCCTTGGGTGCCATGAACTTTGCAGGCTATGAACTAGCAAGGAAAGCAATGGACAAAAATGAGGAGCTAGCAGCAGCAGCGGCTGACCAATTGTCTCAAAAGAAAGCAGCAGCTGGTTCTGGTTAAAATTCTCACTCCCTTTTTCTGGATGCCTTCATAAGGCCGTGGTTTTGACTGTTGGAGGTATCTCATCCACGTTAACCCGCACTCTCTCTGTGATTGTTCTGGTTTTTCTTTTTGCTCGCACTTTTACAGAAATCAGTTGCATAGATTTTCATCCGTCGACATCACTGCCATTTCCTTCAAGACTTGATGTTTCCCTCAATTGAACTTTTCTTAGCTTTTCATTTTGTATGTCGACATTTTGAGTTTCCCTCACTATGGCAATTTAGGTATAAAGAAGGATATATAAACTTATGCCTTAATGTATTTTGCCTGAACAAGTTCAAAGGTGCTCATTTTTGTACATTTATGCCAAGCCAACCATTTTGTTTTCCAATCTTTTCATGTTTTACATACATTCTTAATGTACATATTGCTGGGATCGATTGTATGCTTGATTATTGCTTATAAATGTAATCTTTAGCTGATGATAAACGCCATTGTTTTCAGACAATCCTTATCTATGCCATTCCAGGATACAACGTTTAGTTCATAGAATGACCAAAAACCTGTACAAGCATCGGCGAAGGTGAAGTTCAAACTATGTATATTTGGTTAAATTCTATGATGAATAATATTCCAAATTTTCTCTTCACTTAGGTTTAATCGTGAGCTTGTAATAACCAAATAGTTATATTCGTGAATTCAAGGCTCTGCACATCTACTTATCGATTTTCAAAACGATAATAAAGATAACAATCTCATTAAAAAATGTACCTCAGAGTTAATTGGAACTCTGACAATATCATTTCGAGGAAAAACTTGTGTTCTCTAATCAATTTCGTCACCATAAGGAAATGCAACCAAATTGCAGAGGACCTATCTGGTTTGTTTTATTACTGACCAAACATCTGCAGCAAAACAAGTTCCGGAAGGTTTATGAAATTAAATTCTGAAACTTTGGCGGTTCAACTGTAATTTTCCAGTCAATAGCCCCAGTAATCATTTCGGATTTCATCATCGAATTTCTTCCTCAGCTCAGGATGCTTCTCAAAGTATTCATTAGCAGTCATGGTGCTGATCTTTTTCTGATGAGAATAACAGGATATGAGAATTCGTTTCTACAAAATGGGAAATCAAATAAGCCTTTCTTATCCATTACCTTCAATTCTTGAACTTCGACAATCTCCTTCTCCAACCTCTCAGACTCCTTCAGGGATTTTTCTTCAGCTTCCTTCAATTCTACCAGCTGCCACATAAACAATAAATGAAGCACTTGGCAGACAGAAACTCACGTATCTACAAAAATATAACTGGTGCTTACCAATGAATCGAATTTAGGTTTGTACTGCGGAGTCACTGTGTCTACAAACTTGGGGATCTCGACGCCTAAAAAGGAAGCAGTTCAACCAAAGCGTAATGAACGAAAAAGACATGTAATCATAAGGGCATTGCTTTGTACTTCAATGGCAATGCAAAACTATGGTTAATCTGTCATGGGACCTTGACAACTATATCTGGGTCTCATTCTATATGTAAGAGATATGGTAGAGGAAAAGGTAAATGTGAGACAGCCTTAGTCCAAATGTGTCCCAATAAAAAGAAATGTTGCAAATTTGAAGGACCACTTAAAATTTTAGTGATAGATTTGCCGATGTGCTCTAGACACCGCGTGTAATCCAAAAATCTCAAACTATACAATGTAGTTATATGATGGTGGATTCCAAAGATTCTCAGCGAAGAAGAGTTATCTTCTGAAGACTCAAATTAGAGAAGCATAACAGGTAGCCATGTGCTAAAAAAACCACAACATTGCCTAGTCTAAATATTGCACAGAAAAATATGTATCAAATGCCAAGTGAATCAAAGAGCATACTGTCATAAGCCTCTTTGTATATGTTGACCAGGCGGGGTCCGATTCCCTTTCTGTAATATTCCCAGTCTATGGGCTCCGGTTCCTGCACAGAGACAAACAGTTTATAACAATGCAAATTTTGAAAGTTTTGAACTGAGTCAATAAGGCAGAAATTTTCACTAATAGGGCTTCTTTCAAAAAAAAAAAAAAAAAAAAGGGCTTCCTAATAAGAGGGAGTTTCACTCTATAAACGGCCACATAATTAAAAGCACTGCTTAGTCATTAATATGATCAACTTGTTGTTGACTGATGGTAAAGAAAAGCACGGAATTAACAGGATCATCTTTGGCTATAACTCATAGGAGAAGTATTACCATCTTACTATTTGAGCCATGTTCCACTCTCATGTGCTCTTAAACCGTATGCAATAGGTAATCCATGTATGATACCAATAGTTATGATTTTCCCTTTTCGTATAAAGAAGACATTGCTCAACCAAGTTAACCGGAGTCCTTAAAACTGCTGCAGTAATGAATCATATAACCTGTTCTTATCATATGATGCACGTAACAGTTCTGGATCCAAATAAGTTGGAAATGTTCCCTACAACAACAAACATTTTTGTTTTCTAATTTCCAATTCTACTCTGGACGATCTTCCTCAATCAAACCATAACTAAATCAACATTCACCTCTCTACAACCCACAAAAAATGAAGTCCAAATTAAACACAGCTATAAATAATTCCACAAAAACACAATTCAAATCAGAACAATCTCGAAACGTTCAAGCCAAACAAAATCAATCCCCATCAACAAAAACCAAATAAAAAGATAGATCTAAAACCATAAAAATAACAAGAAGAATAAGAGAAAAGTTGAGATCTTCCACACCTGGCTAAATTTAGTCTGGAGGGCTGAGTTAACCTCCTCGAAGGCTCGGCGAAGGCTAGAGAACTCCTTACGAGCCTCATCGGAGACCAAAAGCTTGGCCATGCCATCCCAATCGATATTCTTGGATGCTTTGAAGGCAGCATCGGCCACTTTCTTAACGGTGCCGCTCATTTTCTCTGGATTTGGCAGTGAAAACCGAAAATCAATGGGAACTGTGAGAGAGGGCAATTCGTTGTGCGCTCAGTTTGTAGCTTCGTCTAAGAGATGACTGGTTCAGAATCTTGGGCTGCTTCTTTTCCTTTGGGCCTCTCGGCCCAATTCGGCCCAATATAAAAAACCTCTTTTTTATTTTATTTTTTAATTTCAACGATATTATTCAATAAATTAATTTAAAGATTTATTGAAAATATAAAAACTAAATTTTGAACCCAAAATTTTTTTGTGAGAGGTTGTTTGGTAATTTTTTATTTCTTTTTTATTGTCTCGAAATATTTAGAAATATAAATATTTTTTAAAAAATGAGTCAAAAAGTCAATAAAAGATAATATTGTAATTTGTTTTAAAATTTAATAATTAAAACCCTTGATTATTATTATTATTATTTTATTTTATTTTTTTAATTTTTTTTCTGAAGAAATTCAAAACCGCGAAGCCTAGCGCGGTAATCTGGGCCTCCTTTCCATCTTCCAGTATCTCGTTTCTTCACAGTTCCGCCATCAATTTTCCATATTCCTCTTCTAAACCTCGAATCTTCGAAATGGACCGGCAGAGAATTCCGGTCGTCTGTCCGGAGAATGAAGACCTTGCCGCCTTCATGTGGCAGAAGCGGCTAGAAATGGCGGAGACACCCAAAGGAACCTCTGATAAAGTCGATATGACTCTATACAAAGCTTATTTCAATGTCTGCAACTCCAAGGACTCCATCAAGTCCATGAAGGATCTCTCGCAGATCAAGTACGAATGCGAATGCTGTTTAGTTGTTGTTTTTGTTTTCTTTGGGATTTTTATACTGGATGGTAATTATGTTTTTGTTCTGTAATGCAATGTCATGTCGCTGATTCCGCTTTGAAAACAAGGTCATGATTGAAGTTTGTTTGTGTGGGATTGAAGCTGAAGGGTCTGGGTTACAACGAAGATCTTTATTAATTTCTTTTAGGAGCTATACTTGAAATGGGACTTTTCTCTCTTGTAGTTGTTTATTTTTTGGTACTTCTCAATAATATACTCAATTTCGTTGGAGGAATTAGCTATTTTGGTGAAAGAGTTACATTTTTTTTTCCCATTCTTTTTAATTTATACGAAACTAGTTGCATAGTGTCTTTCATTCTTTGAATCTATTATCTCGTTAATGTGGGCTTCTGGCTTCTGCTCTCTCTTTTGAAGTATTGATGTTCTAATGCTGCAGAGGCGTAGGGAAGTGGATTCTTAAACAAGTACAAGTTTTTTTTAAGAGTGGTTCTGAAGGTTCTGGACCTGAAGAAGTGGCGGGAAAAGGTACCTTACACAAGCTTCGGATTCTAACTTTCTATGGTTTTCTCGTACAACGAGATGTTTATTGCTTTTCTTGTTGTTTGTCCTTTTTCATGTTTATTCATTTAGGTAAGAAAACAAAGGGAACCAAACGCTATGTTCCACAGAAGAATTCAGTTGCATATGCCTTATTGATTACTCTTTATAGGTACAATGGACAAATTGTAATTTGTTTTGTCGAGTTCTTATTTAAATTCACGTGTAACATACGCTTCACTATTAGGGGTACAACAAATGGGAATGAATACATGCGTAAGCAGGAGCTTATTGATGCAGCTGAAGCGAGTGGTCTTTCTAGGGTGGCAATTGCGTAAGCTAGCTCCTGCATTCTTCTTTATGCTGTACATTTTATCATTTAATGGATGGAGAGTATTTTCCCATTTCAGGCCAGAAAAAGGTAAAGGAAAACCTGGTCAATTTGGAAGCTCTACAAGGGAATGGTACAGTGGATGGAACTGCATGAAGACATTGGTATCTAGAGGATTAGTGGTGAAGTCTAGTTGTCCAGCAAAGTATGGTCTTGGCTTGGTCATAATTTTGATTATTGCCACTTTTCCCCGCTCCAATTATTTTGGAATGATTCTCTCTATATGTCATTACATCATTGTTTCTGTGGCTGCGGGTGGGTACCATCTGATTGTTTAGGACTTGATACTGATGGCTGTAGGCTATTCTATTGCGTACGTAGGAGTAACGTATAAATACCATCTGACCTAAGCAAAATGTTAATATATGTGACAACACATATTTTATATTCTTAACAGGTGGATATTGTACTCTCGAACCTTTTTAGATGTAGTATGTTACTGTAAGAACAAAAGTGTTACATTATAGCTTCGTATTGAATCACTAACCAATGAAAATGTGTAATTTGGCAATATCATGTAGTTTCTCTTGAATTGACCACAGCGTGTGGGGGCTTCAGCTTGCTTCATGGGCTACATTATCCTTTTCTGATATATAGAGGATTCTTTTATTTTTGGAAGCTGGACCTTGGAATAATGGCTCCGTACGTAGATAAATATTATTCAAGTATGGAATTGCACAACACCGAGTTATTTGGCAAAGATTGTTAACACCCTGAAAGAATAAAAATTAATCCTGCAAAGCTTTAAGGTAAACATATTATGATACTTAACTTACACTAGAATATCACAACAATTGTGCGCAAATCTGCAACTTAAAAGTTCATGAATGCTATTAGTAGTTTTATTCAAACTGGGACATCAACTTTCATGTGGATGATCTCTTACAGAATAAAAAGAAGAAAGCAGAACTCTATACCCTCTTAATTTGTTTAAACCTTTTTGTCTTTTTTTATAAGCCATGTTTGAATAATATTCCAGATTATGATCCTCTTTGTGTTCTATTATTTGCAAGTATATGCTAATATTTTTGTTTTAACAGATACATGCTTACAGAGGAGGGGCAGCAAGTGGCACGTGAATGTCTTATGAGATCTGGACTGTTAAATTCAGAAAAGAACTTTGACACTATGAAAGGATCGTCTATTCTTGAATCATGCGATATATCTGGTCGCAGTGCTAATCATCTTGATTCAGATGTAGAAGTGACTTCACCATCTATTTGTCGGAGTAGTCAAAATAAATCAATCGATGTTCCCCTTGAATCACTTGAGAGGGTAATGCAAAAGTTTAGATGTCACCTTTCCGACAGTGATATTCACTTAAAATTATTTAACTTGAGAAATATGCAAATTGAGTATTCACAATTACACTCGTATTGCTATGGCACTAGGGTTGCTCAATAGATACAACTCATTAACCATTGTTAGTTTGAACTCCATTTGCTCTTCACCAAAGCCTCAAGCCCTACCCAACTGGGCATCCCTTATGCGCAATTCACCATCTATTTCTGTCTCTTTTTTGCTTTTTGTTTTTTCCCCCAGTTTATGCGCATGGGCTACTCTAAGCATCAAGTTCTTGATTCCTTTAAAGAAGTTTCAGAGGATAACCCGAACAAGGATATCTCATCACTTTGGCCAGCAGTCTTATGTCGCCTGCGTGAAGATCTTGTTTACGGTTTGTTCTTATAACTCTTAGTAGGAATTTAAAATATTGCCACAAAATTTGATTAGTTTCTAGAAAACTAAACCAAATATGGCTATGAGCGTTATCACCAAAATCTGGGAAAATATGGTCATAAGTTTTTGATAGCGTAAGCTTGTTTATTATTGTAACCATGAAGGATATGGAGTAATTGTTTTCCCTTTTTTTCTTCGAAAATACTGATCACTAGATTGATAAGTTGTGGATATACACAGGTCAAGTAGAAGCAGTTGGAAGGGAGAATAGGTTGACAGGTTCTTCTAATGAGGGACATGTGCCAAAGATCGTTATTAGTGATAATGGAGAGAGATCTTTTAACTTGAGAGCTTGCTCATCATCTGTGAGTAGATATTCTAACTCTCTCACCCCCCCCCCCCCCCCCCCCCCC